GTGTGCACAGTAAAGTGTATTAGTATTGTGTACACGTAAACACACAAACCTGAAACCTAAACTGAAGTTAGTGCAAACCGAAACGGTCCCCCTGCGATTAATATATAGTTTAATCAAAGTGTTTTACTATAAACATGTTTTTGAAAGTATGTAAATGTATTCAATAACTTTTTGTACACGAAAACATTTTCAATTTTAAACAACGAATTTCATTATTGTTTACCGTAATAATTATAAAATAGGTAAACGCGTTCGTCTTTGAAATTGTTATTTAATTAGTCGTATTCATTAATACGACACTATTATTCGTAATGATTTAATAATTATTACATATTTCCATGGTCAACAAATAATTATTAAATATACGATAGACGTCGTAAAAAGTTTGTAATAACTTTCAGAAGTTTTAAACCGAATAATCGCCATACAAATAGAGATTTTATGAGATTTTTATTATGTATAAATACAGGTAGGTGTAGCAAATTTCTCAATATTCTCAGTTGTCTGTTATTTTTTCTTATCCAAATTAAGTATATTATTGATACGAACATTTTGTTTTTAAACTATTCTAATAAGTTTATGATTCATACCAATGAAAACTGTTAGAAAAAATAAAATGTTCAACATATTGCAGTTATGTATTATAATACATGTTGTACTAATTACACAGAGTTAAACATTCCCTAACGAACACCTCCCAATGGCGGACGATTTCTTTGGAAATACCAACTACAAACTTTCTACAACCTGAACCATCTGAATGACGTAGGCCTCCGAATGGTGGTCAAAATTTCAGGGAAGTGTCCGGTATTTAGAGGTTTCACTGTATATTAAAATCTGTTGGATTATAATATTTGTAAGTACATTTTAGTTTTAAAAAATACTTTTGTCAGTATGGCCTACATATAGGTAAGTAGAATATGACAATTTAATCGAAAATAAACTTTGTAAATACAACTACCATGTATAGGTTTATTATAAAATTATCAAAATGGAAGTAATTAATATATTATAACAGCATCACGCGGTGACCACGGTAATATTTTATGTGTTGGGAAACAATTTATAATTCCGTATCGCGTAATCAGTGGACCATTTCAAGCGAAATTGGTTCTACGTGAAGGTTTATGAAATAAGTCACGAGGCACAGAGTTCAAACACCGATCTACATTCAAACTTTTCAGAGAACTCATTCTATAGTAAACGTAATACTAATAGCCAATGTACGTGATTGACTAATAAACTGAATAACCATAATACTATTATAATTCCATATAATCAACTGTGTTATCAATTACTGAGTTATTTTGTAATGAATGTAACAATACGTCATTAGTTAATTAAATATTCATATAAGTACCATATTATAATAGCAAAATAGATAAATTATTTCAAAGCAAAAAAATTGTAATAATAATTTACAGACAAAACAATACTTAAATTTATAATATATTAGAATAAGACAAATGTTACAATTTCTATAAATGAATAAGAATGGACATTCAAACATTATAATTTATAGGTATTGATAATAGTAAACACTTATAATTTATTTATTTATATTAGGCTTTGAAATAATTAGTCTAAGCAACAAATAAACTTTCTTCATGTAATATTGTATTAAACCACAGAGACAGAATAAATTGCCTTCATAGATTTATAGATATATACAATAGATAGATACACAATAGATATATACAATATAACCAATAAAAAATATAATTTAAGGATTATTACGTGTATAAGAGTATTAGTGGCTTCGATCTATTAACTATGTTTTAATATTTTTCTATAATAATAAAATTGTTCCTTCTGAAAAAAACTAAGTGTTGTTTAAATTACTAGTTTTTTGTGAATGTTTTTTTTACTTAGATTTTAAATTAATATTTAAAAATTAGCTAAAATGTTTAAAGTTAAGAATTTTGAACTGTGTAACTATCACTGGAATATAAACTTATTTATACAAATTAACAAAAATCAATATTTTTATACTAGCTATATTGGAATATATTATACTATTTATGAGGTGTATAAATGTATAATGTATATACCTAGTCATTTAAATGCGATGATAAATCATCGTTAAAATACGGTATAAAGCGATGTTCATTTAATGATGAACAAAAGGTTGGCATCTTATTTAAAAAAAAAAAAATATTGACTGAAATGTATTCACGAGATATTTTAATGAGAGTGACCGAGTGAGAAATCTCTGACAATTAAAGAGAAGACAAAAACAATTTGCAATCTTATTATGTTATTATATATTTATATAGTTATTAATACAGCGTAATACACTACAATAGTACAATATTTTTATCTTTTTGATTAAAGATTACACCTTATATTATATAATCAGTTTATTAATCACATTTTATTATTAAATCATATACAAAAAATAACTATTTGATAAACTAATACGCTATAATACTATATTATTACTTATAAATTATAAAATATGATACACAAAATACTCAAGAGTTATTTACATAAATACACAAAGTTGTACATAAATACATGTAAGTCATTAAATATAGATACATATAAATACACAGACAAAATATGAGGTTCAGGATTTTTTCCCTTTTGATGGTTCAACCGTGTGTAATAATTTGAAACTAAAATAATAAAATAGGTATTTAATACGTATACAAATAAAAATTATATAGTACGATCGCGATCGTTGTCTTTTAAGAATAACAATTCTATAAGTAATTTCAATATTTACAATTCTATTGATTTTCACATTACATAAATAAATTAAGTCACGGTATGTCTTTATTCGCTGTTATTTAATTTTAATTTAATACCCAACGAGGTAAAATCACTAATTTAAGACAGTGTTGAATCAAAATAAATAAATTATACGGACGCGAAATGTTGCAGGCGAGAAGATTCTCCCTCCATTTAGAATTTTGTTAACAACCTTTTTTGGAATGTTTTTTCGACGAGACCACAAGAGGGTTGAATAATAATTTTGCTAAATTCAAGAGGGTATATTTTATGAAATTCAAAAATAACGATATGATGACGATGATAATTATTAATAAAGAACGGATTTTTTATAAAAAGAAATATGTCTGTTTACTTTTAATCCTTCTTAATGATGATATTAACATTTCATATACAAATACATTTTATGCACAAAGTATGTACAATTTTACATTTGTATATTATATACCTATACAAAGTACCGATGATACGATTGTAAAATGTTTGAATACTACTCTTGTGATTTACAATAATATATGTATATAGGTACTCAATACCATTGTCATTATTAGAACCAAAATAAATGTATCTACGATAAGTTAAAAGCTTTAACTGCCATTTCATGGTCAAGTTAACACTGCACTACTGTTCAATATTAATTACTGGTGTAGTAGTTTTTATATAACTATAGCAACAGCCAACAGTACTAACAGTGGACAGCGATAATACTCTGTCAATAAAGAATTTAGACGTTTTAATAATTGATATAGCGTATATATATATATATACAATATAAGCATATATATAGCATGGAAAATAAAAGTTCACTAAATACGCCGTGCACAATCATCAGATAAAAACTATTAATTCGTTAGACAACAAACTTGAAATTTATTTATTTTTCATTGTGTTGTATACAGGAATATCCACGCCAGACATATACGACGTGCGTTAATCGTTGACGGCGAAATAACTGTAGGCACTTATTATTATAATCGGTCAGCTGCAGAAAACAGCCGATTATGGATTGGACGCGACAGGATGATTTTTGCGACGCGATGTTAAAATGTGAATAACACATTACACACATACAGATAGATGTATAAGTACTATATCGGTGCGATTATAAACACTTTCTTCAGCCGTCGTCATCATATGTTTATTATTATCGTTCATTATTATAAACTCCTTAGTGCAAGTCGGAAACCGAAAACTCGCGGTGGAATTATATTACATTCGAGCATTTAGTGAAGAGAAATACGTAGAGAATAATTATATATAACATATTATATTAATTTAGCTAGAGGTTCACCTTCGTCGAGGGGTGAGTCTCTCGATATATTATGGAGGCGGGAGGTGGAGGCTCCGAATGAGGAAAAGAGAGAGAGAGAGAGAGAGAGAGAGAGAGAGAGATACACGTCTGTAGCAGCAGCACCGAGTGAAGAAAGCGCGAGTCTACTCTGAGAGGGAGAAAGACAGACTGTGTCAGAATAGAGAGACAGAGTGAGAGGGAACATCGTATAAGTATATATATTATATAATATGTATATATGTAAGTACACGCATGTGATATACATACACACGCACATATATATATATATATATATAACCCGTCGAAAAGTAATCTAAGGTGGAACCGTTTAGCTTTCAACAAGCGGCGGCGGCGGACCCTATAAAAGGGTGGGGACGGCGCGAGACGGCGCGGCGGAGAGGAGCGCACGCCCCGCGCACCCGTTCAGTAGCTGTTAAACTCGCATTACAGTCACGTTTATAGTCATCAGCCGACCGTTCGTACGGACGTTATACACGCGCGCGCGTCCTCGTCCTCGCCGTCGTTGTCGTCGTCGTCGTCGTAATAATAATAATAACAGTGTAATATTATTCTCTCTCACTCTGCACCACAGTGGAGCGTTCGCGTGTTTTATCGTCGTATACGGTTTTTTTTTCATCATCAATTATTTTTCTACCATCTCAAACCGCGCAGCGTGTGTCCGGTCGTCTCTATCGCTGCACAACGGGTCGTTGTTAAATTTTTTTTTCGGCCTATAGTGTCACGATAATTCCGAGTGTCGCTTTGCCCGGCTTCGTTTCCCGACAACGAGAATACAAAAATATATTATAATATCGTACAGTGTTTGCCTATCGTCGTCGTACGAGCTGTGCGCTAAGGGTGGTTTCGCGTCGTCCGAGGGCGCGCGCGAGTGTGTGTCGCGCGCGTGAGATGCGTCGTCGTCATCCGTCGTCGTCCATCGTCGTTATTCGCACCGGTGTGACGCGATCCATGTGAGATGTTGATGATGATGGACTGCAGCAACAGGAAGCCGCCGGCGGACCTGTCATCATCCGGCGTGGTCGTAGCGGCCGTGTCGTCACCGGAGCTGGTGGTTGCTGGCACGTGGCACCCCCACGTGTACGGCAACCCCCCCAGGACGCCAACTGCCCACGGCGTGGCTGATATACTCGGATGGACCAAGGCAGGCTCCGACGAACAGCCCCTAAACCTGTCGACGGCCAAGCGGCCAAACGGCACAGTGCTGGACTTGACCAAGATCAAACGCAAAGGTAAGACGACCACATTGATATTATTACATAATAACTATAAAGCCAGGTCCTCACCAGTCACCACTGTCGTTGCCGCTTAGAGTTGAATAAGATATCCCGTATCCCAAATGCCCAACTTTATAGGTAACGTGTGTTACCAACAAGTAACAACTTTGTTACCTAGGTACGTATTATATGGAACACGGCATGACACGGGGTTCAGTGTGAACCCGGCTTGATAATAACAATAAAACGACGAGACGAACATATTTTATTTTAACTATCGTTTAGTTCGTTGGTATACAGTATACCTACCGCGGGTTATGCGTATAGTGTAGTGGTATACTTGGCGGTAATGTAGTACAATATAATATGATGCGCATGCCGTGTCCATGCCGGATCCAGAAATAACCCAGGGGGGGGGGCGGGGCGAATTTACAAAAATTAAATTGTCTATTTGTTCAGCCAAATATTATAATAGAAAATAACGTTAAAAATACAGCCCAAGGGGGGGGGGCGAACGCCCCTTCCCCCCACCTCGTATCCGCCACTGGGTAATGTCATAGTTACTTGCAGCAGGGATTTGCAGGTGTATCATTATTTATGTAACATAATATTATACTAAAATATTATTTTATATACTTTTTTTTTTTAAACGGTCTACTCACTTTCGTCGCGTCGTGACTGTGCTGTTATTATTCCCGACACAAAACGCTCCGTGCGCTGCGCATTCGTTAGCTGTTTTACATTTTTTCCTTCGCTGTTTTATATTTTTTCCTTCACCTTGACTGCGGTGCAGTCTTCGTTTTTTCAATCTCACGCCGTTTTCGTCCGCGCGTAACAAATCACGACGAAAACGATGACTGCTACGGCGCCACGTCCTTCGGCCGCGGAACAATCTGTGGATCATCATCACGGATTGAGATAATGTCACACGCGACGCGAGCGAAAAACGTTTCCAGTTATACGACCTCACCGCAGCAGCCGAAATCAATCTCCAGATCCAATTTTTTTTCTCTCTTTCAGACGTAGCACGACCGATTATTTTATTCAAATCCATTATGTGCGCGAGTTTTATATGATTATATACCGCGATTCAGACTAAATTAGGTTTATTTTTTCCACCCATCCGTACAAAGGGTATAATATATAGGCTTATAATTCTATAAATTATATAGGTAGGTAGGTATAGTAGTAGTCTTGCAATACACTTTACAGTCACATTTTCTACGACCAACTATTTGTTCCGCCTCTCCGGGCCGGCGGTATTACATGCATACCTATAACTAGTCGAACGACGTTAATTATCTACGTGCAGTGTACGGTAAACAATAATATGGGTAGCTGCAGTTTTTTTCTTCCTTATTGAACCGTTTATTATAAAGTAGCATATACGCGATTGCTCAATAAAAATTCTATTTGGAAACTATACGGTACGCATGCATTGTCGTATTAATAGTGAGTATATGTGCGTGTGCGTTTTCGATGTTAAGGTGTAATTGCGTTGACGTCTTAATAATATATGTCGCACGGCGGGAGTGCAGCGGCGTCGTTTCAGGTGCTGTACAGGCGCCAATATAACGAGAATTAAATAAAAAAATAAAACCCATACGAGACTATATAAGCGCATTACTATAAAAATAATAATAATAGTATATAAGCCTATTATACAAGTTGACTGTATGTATACGTAATATTGTTTAGGTGCAACTATAGCTGTCCTCCGTTAAACGCGTTCAATTTATACCGTAACGTTTTTATTGTTAAAAATCCAACACAAACAAAATTTGAAAATCCCAAAATATCGCATTGAGACAATAAAAAAATTACCCACCAAGCTCACCCTACGGGCTACACAGTACATTCGGATCTCAAGTTGAAATCCTTTCAGGAAGAAGCAAAATTATTTTACAATAACGTTTCCCTAACAATTTATAGACAACCACCCGAACCCACTTTTAAAAATCTAGCAGTCCTTACGATCCCTGGTAATATTCCTCCCCCCCAAAAAAAAAAAAAAAAAAACGTTTTAAATGCAAATGGTGTCGTGGCGCCTGCTAGCTATATGACTTAAAAACCAATAATCCCGAAAATCCAAACTATGTATCGAAGTAGGTAGTGCCGTACTGCCGTCAGTGGGTGTGGACCACTTCCGTCAAACGATTTATGTAGGTCCATAAGTCATAAATCTCTCTTAATCAAATTTGCTACTGTTCCTACTTCCTACCGATGGATTGTAAATACATTGTTAAAATAAAAAACTTATTTTTATATATAAACATACAAATTTTCGGAAACATTTCGTAGATTGTTTTGACGGAAATGATGTCCGTTAAAACGACGCTACGGATCCTGTGCCAGTAATGAAAAATCTATAAAATTTCAAATCTGTATTGTATGCTCCTAGTTCGAATGTGTAGAAAATAATAATAATTAATAAATAACAGTCACTCGTTATTTGACGTGACAGATTTATCCGCGAGCACGCGGTATAGTAATATGAATGAGGTGGGGTAAACGTTGCGTTATAATATTATCCCGTCATCCTCGCGCGTGGTGACTATAAAGGTCCGTCAGTGGCGGCGACGGCGGCGGCCGGTGTAGTATAATCGATCGGTATAATTCCCCTCGTCCTCTCGCCACAATAATTGAACGCCAAGCCGTATATAATTGATAATCGCCCGGCTTGTTTGCGTCTACCGAGTGATGCGCGTTATACATTATATTATATAGGTACCACCCATCGACACGACTGCGGTATATGGTTCCTAAGTGCCTAACTACCTTCCGACATATATCTAAACCCACAATCGTCACGATCTACCCCATAATCATTGTGAGCTATAATATACTATATATAATATATATGAACGATCTTCATTTTTTAAGGTAGGGAACCCCTCTCGTTTGCCCAACCGGTTCGCGGACATCCAAAATTCCAAAATCGTTATTCGATATTTTATTTTTTTGTTGCTATAACATACACTGAAGACGAAAAATCTATTTTTTAATAGAAAAAAAACATGTTTGCTGTATTCGCGGAGAAGAGAAATTTCGATGAAACGCTAAAACATCAACGAACGATTTTACACCGGTTTTTGGCCGTTACAGTTTTATATTATATACAATATAATATACCTATTATACGAATAATATACCGGGTGATCCATTTAACGTAAGACACTCATGATTTAAAGTTATTAAAAAACAATAGGTATACGTATTAGTAACGAAAAATGTAGGTATTTCTTTTTTTTTCAATAATAACATAATATTACGTTTTTAATGTCTTGTTATAAAGCAGAATATTTTTTACGTATAAAAATCAAATTTTGGACTAGTATAGTTTATTAGTTATAACTTTTTAAGTATTTAAAGTTTGGATAGGTGAAGTGGAGTGGTACAGGGGTACCCTACAAAATGTTGGTCGACTATATATTATACTCCGCTCATCAAAACTTTAAACACGTCTTATAACTAATATATACAACTAATTATCCGAAATTCGATTTTTATAAACCAAAATAGGTACTCCGAATCATAAACGTATGTTATATATCATTCAAAATAGTAAAACTTAAAAATAATAACGATACAAATAACATAAACATAATATTATATAAAGACTTAAATTAAATCACTTAATATTATTTTTAAAAACGTAAGTGTTTTCTGAAATATTAATGGTCTCCATGCATCTATTGTAAATATATTATATAATATAGCTTCGCATTACATAAGTTAGTACACTACCTAGTAACTATAAGTACATAAATAATCAAGTTATTTGAGGGTGCTAAAAAAATAGCTTTGGGGTGCTATAAGCAGTAAGCACTCCTTAGCTACCAGTTGTGTCCATTGTGTAGTTCGGTAATGTCGACAAATGCAAAATTTACAATTTTTTTCAACCTCGTAATCTCTAAAAAAGTTTTAATTTAATGGCACACATTTCTAATACAGATTACCGTCTAAAAAATCTGGTTAGACATTACATAGATTTGCCAAGGAGATAATCGAATGGTGTTACGAGACTTTTGGGACACCCACTGTATATATACGGTATGTCGCGTATTATTTGGCGGTACATTAGAGGTATAGGTAATAATATTACAGTAGGCTCGACAATAGGTATGCGTTATAGAAATAATAATATATACCGGAAAATCGGAAACATTTTTTTCAGACGACTTATTATAATACAGTTAGTATGTATAGTAAGTATCTCGTATTAAAATATAATAGGGATAATTGAGTTTAAATACATATTATGAACGTCACGGTGGAAACGATCTTGTTAGACTATATTATATTATCATGTTGACGGCCGCGGTATTTCGCACTCGGTGGTTTCTTTTTCTTTCTTTTTTTTCTATATACTTTTTACGGTTTCGATCAATGAATATTATATACTATGCCCGCGTCGTCGTCGCATGTTTAACAAACGTTTTGGAAAGCAAACACGACGGAGACTAATCATTATTATCGTACAGTCCTTTCGCGTGATTCATTAAAAAACAGTTGGTCGTCGCCGTCCGCATAAAATATAATATTATTATTTAGGAACGCTAGAAAACGCGCATTCTGCTTTTTTATGTATAGTCAAACCCACGCACAATTATAATTATTAATCATTTTTTTTTTTTTTTTTTTGATAACCAGTAGTACACATTATAGTGTTCAGTCTCCTCTACATATACTGTATACAAAATAATTATTATATTATTTAATATCGAAGCAGTTCATGACTAGGTTTCTGAGTATTATTGTTATTTTTTTTATTAAATTTAAAACTGTATATTATAGGTACACAGTGCCGTTATATTCGTATCGAACCTAGTTAATTTATATTTTATGTTATGTATACACATAAATATTTTTACTCGGAAGTCACGTTTGGAAAAATATGTTTCAATGAGTCACATTTAATGATCACAATTTTAATTTTTAATTTTTTTTATACGCATGCAATACAATTTCAGTGTATGCTAAACATTAAAACATGGACGGTTTTCGACGAATCAGACCATGTGATATTATTATTAGTTTTTTCTCTGGAAACACATTGCACTTGTGTCATTATATATTTAGTGAATCCCGCGCTATGACATATTATGAACTATAAAATATTTATTATAATACATATATCATCATCGTCATTCCACTATATATACGCTTATTGTCTTTTAGCGTTGTACTTCTAGTTCAAATGTTTGCACGCTCGTTGCCGGTCAGAACAATCGGATATTTCGCTAAACGTTTGCTGCAGTTATATATACATATAATGTTATAATATCATATATTGTACACCATAGATTATACACATTACACGATGTGATGTATACAGAACGTTTCGCTTTATTTTTTCGTACCGACAGCAATTGAAATCGATTACCTCAAAGGGCTGGAAGGGGACGGGGTCCCGGAGAATCAATATAATATAGAGTCGTTATAATACGCGAAACAAAGAGTACTACCCGCGCGTCCTTTATAATATATATATTGATGCAAAGGCGCGCGCGTAATCGGCGGTGGCGGTCGGTTGTCGAATAATAATAATATTATAATAATGTTCGGGCCGGGCCGTTGAGAGAAAGATGATAATAATATTATTGGCGCGCAAAGGTTAGCCCGAATATTATTGTTGTATTATATTGTTGGCGTCCAAGTTCCGTTTTGTACCGTTGAACGTTTTGCACAGTCATATTATATTATTATTATTTTATTCTTCTCGACGAGTAATATGATAAACAAACAAAAGGGGCTGCTACTGTTGTTGGTAATTCGTTTCGCCACTGTAATCCTTTTTAGTTTTTTTCCTGTTGCCGACGACGACGTGCCCGTATATGCACACTATACGCTGCATACGTATAATGTTTATGTATTATCCTCTTTTCGGACGTGCGTGCACAAAAATTATGTTTGCTTTGCTCATCGTTGTTGTTCAAATATATAACGTGCGCGTTATATACATTACACGTTTAAGCGCCAACAATAATATATAATGACGACCGACTTCGAAGAATCGCAGAAATTATTAAAAAACGAAACCCACGTCGATCA